GAAAAAATAAACAGGGGGCTAATAATTCTAACATTGTATAATACTACACCCCCCTCCCCCTTTTTATTTATTTATTCATTTATTTTTATGTTATGTTGTTTTTTGGATGTTGTGTAAGTTACGTTTTGTCTTTTGGTGTTATTATCATGTGATTGTGATTAATTGTGGGACCCCCTTGAAAATGAGATACATCACCACACATTCGCCAGTAGCTATGTCTCATGTAGCTATTATGGATATGCCCATAAAAAATGGTTGATGGAAACTAGGGATGCACCGAAATGGATCTTTTGGCCGATATCGATAACCGATAACTCTTCACGCTTGGAGGAAGATAGCCGATATGTGTAGGCCGATAATTATAAATATTTCAAATATTTATATTTGAATATATAAAATTATATTTTAATACAGCAAAATTCATAAAAGGTTGAACTGTTCCGATGAGTTGAATAGTCTATACTCAAACAAAAAAAGCTATTGTTTCAAAATTGCAAGGTGATTATATAGATTCACCATATTTACGATTTCACGTAAATCAGCATGCAAAAAAATTATTATTTTCCTTTTCTTCATAGCAAATTAACATGCAACTTGACTATTGCATATAAATAATAGGTTAAATAACAAAGTGGGATTTAATCAACAAGCAAGTTAAATATATTTATATTAAATGAAAATGAAAGAGCTAAGGACTGAAACCAGCTCAAATGCTCTTGAATAAAAAGTGTTACAGTAATCTACACATATACAAATATGTAATGTCCAAAAAAGCCTTTATTAGAGGTGTTTTGACAGTTCAGAGCCACTGTACAAGCGAAAAGCTGAATACAAATTATATTACTTAACATGCGGCATAGATTCATCCTATTTGCCGTTTTAGATTCTTTTGAACACATGTGGGTGCTGCTTGTCAATCAGTCAGTGCTTCTGCGTTCGTTCTTGCTGTCAATTGTGGGAAAAAGGATAAATGAAAAGTTTAAAATAAACCGCTGTGAGTTTCACTCAACTTAAACACAGAGCATAATATAAAGACAGTATGTGCGGTGAGTTAAGAGCCACTATGGTGGATTCAGACAGGCACACCTCTACCCCAACGCTGCTGTGAAGGCTGTCAGATCAGTGTGTGTGAGTGAGTGTGTTTGTGTGTTTGTGTGTATGCGGTGACAGGCAGCCCTTATGCGCACACGTTAAAGTCAATATGACTATTCCGATCAAACTGAATAAATCTTACATTAACAACACATGGCAAGCAACACAATGATAATAACAAATAATCATATTAGATTACAAACAACCCAACAAGTTGTTAAGCACATGTGCATCGTTGCTGTTATGTTTACGCATTCAATATTTTATCCTGAGGCGATTTAAAGCGAAATACACAATGGCACTCAATCAAACATATCTACAATGATAAGGAACATGGTTACTTACTGAGTTAATAACGCACAGCAATACCACATGAAGAAAGGACGGACTTTAAAGGAATAAACAATGTGAGGAGAGCTCCATTATAGTGCACTGGACAGGTCTGAACAAGTTCCACCCACGCATGCGTGAGGCAGGCAGGTCTGTACAATCACGTAATTTATCGGCTTAAAGATATCGGCCTAATTTAGACATTGGATCGATAACGATAATCTTAAAAATAGCATTTATCGGCCGATAACGATGTGGTCGCAGATATATCGTGCATCCCTACTTTTTTCCAAATTCCAAGTGATAACTGTTGCTTTAAATTCAAATGATATTGTGGTCTATTCAAAAGAGGGCAGAGCTATAAATGCCTATGTGTCAGCATAGTGGCAGATTCAGTGAAAAACTGAAAAGCTCAAAAGAACTGGCTCAAAATAAGGTAGTCTATGGAGACTACAGTGTTCAATTGTGCACCTTAAAACTCAACATTTATAACACCTCTCAAGGCTGATTTATGCTTGATTTGTTTGTTAGTTCGCTTGAGTGCACATGGCGATTGTGACAACATCTCTGTGTTTCAGGAGGTACGCTTTGGGTGCACACAACATGATTTCGGCTGGCGAGGCACACAATATTTTTGAGACTTCAGCAAACAGTTTGCGCAGCGCCACATTTTATTTGAATCGAACATGAATTACTTTGAAGACATTTTGTCTGAAACAGGTACGCCGTACAGACATCTTTATGATCTGCCCATGCGTAATCATAGGGATAACCAGATGGAAAATAAATCAGTTTTTGTTAAGTTTAGAAAAACTTGAGTGATAAGCTTGTTAAAGCCCTAAGAGGCCATGGCAAAAGTGGAGACCCATGTGGTTTTAATAAACAATTACAGAAGATGTTTTTGACAATTTAATGGTTATGAAACTAAAATGAAGCAACAAATTATTTCTTTGATAACTGGAAAATGGTATTTGAACCTATCGGTTAACAATATTCTAATGCCATATTTTTCTAGGCTTTATTGGTGATAATAGTCAGGAATATTGGACCACTATTAAAGTTTTAGCATACAAGTAGGGGTCAAAATAAAACAAACAAAAAAAAAATTAAGTGTACTTTTTTTTGCTTTTATTTCTTTCATAATAAAAAATATATTTGTACCCATGTTTTGTCGTCATAAATATTTTAATAAACTTTAATAGATAGAACTGACTGAGACATGAACAAAAGCAAGTGATGCATCAAAGTTTAATTTTTAAAAAATTTGAATAAAATCTTAAATTTTATTAGATTAAAAATCGTTTGAATCATTAAATAATTTCTAAAAATAATAAAAATAAATAGTTCAAAAATCTTGAATGATATTAATGATATGATGTAGTCATACCTCTGTTTCTGTTTATCCATCTGATTTTACATTCGTTTTATTGTGACCGCCCACTGACATTTTGAGGAATATCACAACTGCGAACACGTCAAGTATAAAAGACTCGTCAGTTTCGTGAGGTGCTTGTGCAGTCAGCGCAGGTCCAAGACATGGTGCCAGGCGAAAGTATATGTCAGCCTTTAGTCTCGGACATATATTTGATTTGACAGGAACATATATACATATATATATTTGACAGGTAAGGAGTGAAAACTATAACGCTAAGCTCTTCCTATTGATTTTGAATGGGTGATGTCAGGCGTTGCGGAACTGCATTGTGGATCCGTCTTCACCTCTTCAGGAGCGTTGCTCGCTGCAGAAGTTAGGAAATTCTCAACTTTTCAAGCATCAGCCAATGTGATCGCTTCATGCAAATACCCCAGCTTAGGCAGTAGCTGTTTGCGGACTAATTTCATAGGCTGACACTGCTATGACAATCACGTCAGCCTCAACTTCAGACATGCCCTCTGTCAAGTCGTCACCTTAGAATTATAAGGTTCTATCTGCGTTCTGAATGATTTTGAGATATTGAGCTTCAAAGTTTTTGCATTCCATAGCAAACAGCAGTCTTAAAATGTAAACAACTTCTAAAAGCAACATCCAATAATGTAAATAAGTTGTCATTTAATAGGAATATGTCAATATCTCAATTTTGTCAAAAATGTCAGATAGAGCCCTATAATTCTAAGGTGACGAAGTGTTGACGTTGATACCCCGTGTGAATACACGGTAATGGCGGATGACTGCTTCTCACTCAGGGCTGTCTATGCTAATGAGGGAGAGATTGTCACTAATGGGCGGGGCTTCCCCCCCTCTGAATACATGTACAAAGAGAGAATGTCAATCAAAGTGTTTCTGCAAACTTTTTTTATGAAGTCTAATTATGAAAAATAGAATTAATTAGTTTGTACCATTAGAGGCTATCTAAATGTACACACTGTTGCCACACAACTGTGTTTAAACCTCTTATAAAAGTATTTTTTGCATAACCTTTAATTTATCAGCTGTCATTACTAGACACGCACCTTACTGCTGTATGGCTGCAAGTGTGGTTTGATCCTCCGTCTAAAGTATTTCAAATATGGTTTAATCAAAGATTAATAGAGAATTGTTCACAAGTACATTTTTATTCGTTATTCAAACACCATATTTTTTCAGCACACATTATACTAGGATAAGATTAGGCATTTCACCTAAGCTATTTCAACCGAAACTACACCAAAATAACCGCTTTACTGCAGGATATTGTCCTTGGCTCCAAAGAATAGGGCGAACCGCAAGCGCCTGAATGGAAAAAGTAGGCAATCATTCACTACCTCCTCAGGCCCCAAAGCATTAATTGGCCGAAAAACATCCGCTGCACTGAAGCGCATAACCAATAAGTGTGTGTTCATGTGTACCAACATGAAAGTCCCGCGGTTCAAACATGCCTGTGCGCTACATTTGTATACATCCAACAGCCTGATGTACCTGCAGCATAAACTGCGTAATGATTTCCACACATATACCTCCTATACGCGCAGTACAAAACCGCTTAATTTTTTCACATGGCCTGTTTACAAGCCCTTCAAATTCTCTTGGGTGGCACTGACTTTAAAAGGCTTGAAAAAGGAGAAAAAACACTGGAGATTGTGAGTAGGAGCGGAGGATAAGAAGTGTGGGTGTAACTGATTAAAGCGTGGCCAGCGCTCTACAAAGGAGAACAGCGCTTTAGCCTCTCTCTCTTTATGAAAAGGAGGAAGCAATAAATAATTGGTCAGGACAAGCTATTCAAAACACTGGCATCCTCTCTCTTTTGCTGAACTCTTTGCTTTTGGCCTGTTTGGTCTAGAGGTCTTTCATGAAAACGCTGATGGGAACCAACACGTCTCTCTCCCTCTCTCTCTGGGTGTGCTGAATTAAATTGTGTGGTCTTTTTTTATTGGTAAAGTAGAAGCTTCTAAATAAAGTCTGCATTGATCTGACTGTGGTAGGTGAAAATGAAAGGAAAGGATCTTAGAATGAAGCTCAGTGGGAATGAAGTGGGAGTGCTTGGGATCTTATTTCTTGATGTAAGATTTTCGGAAATTGAAAATGCAAGTTGTATGTGTGCACCAGTGTTTTTAATTAAGCTAAAACAAAGAATAAATATCCCAGCGGAGGATTGGCAAACCTTGGAGAGCTCTTGTCCAGCGTCGCACTGCCGGCAGGGAATACAGCTCCCAAACTTATCCTTGTATTCCTGTTCCCTGCAGTCTCTTCTCTCCTCTGCCATCACTGCAAACTGTGAGGAAGATGGAACAAATATGACTAAAACATATTATTTGAATGGAGTTGTTCAGATACATAGAAATACAGTATATATACATATATATATATATATATATATATATATATATATATGTATGTATGTATATATACATATATATATATATATATATATATATATATATATATATATATATATATATATATATACATACAAGTTAATACTTGAATTTTACATTTAGAAAATATATAATATAAGAGGCTTTTTTTTTTCAACTGTTGGAATTACAAGTATATGTAAGTATTTCAAACATATATACAGTTGGAAAAAATTATATATGGTATTTTTTGCAAAATTTCAAAAATACCGGCCACTTTATTAGGTACACCGTACTAGTATCGGGTTGGACCCCATTATGCCTGCAGACCCGCCTTAATCCTTCATGGCATAGATTCAGCAAGGTACTGGAAACATTCCTTAGAGATTTTGCTCCATATCGACATGATAGCATCACGCAGTTGCTGCAGATTTGTTGGCTGCATATCCATGATGCTGATCTCCCGTTCCACCACATCTCAAAGGTGCTCTATTGGATTGAGATCTGCTGACTGTGGAGGCCATTTGAGTATAGTGAACTTGTCATGTTCAAGAAACCAGTCTGAGATGACTAGCGCTTTATTGCATGGCGCATTATTTATTTCTTTGGCATACCTCGGTTGCAACGAGTGGTTATTTGAGTTACTGTTGCCTTTCTATCAGCTTAAACCAGTCTGGCCATTCTCCTCTCACCTCTGGCATCAACAAGGCATTTGTACCCACAGAACTGCCGCTCACTTCCTCTTTTTCAGAGCATTCTCTGTAAACCCTAGAGATGGTTGTGCATGAAAATCCCAGAGGATCAAAGTTTCTGAAATACTCAGACCAGCCTGGCACCAACAACCATGCCACATTCAAAGTCACTTAAATTAGCTTTCTTCTCTATTCTGATGCTCGGGTTGAACAACAGCAAATCATCTTGACCATTTCTACATGCCTGAATGCATAAAATGCTCCAATGTGATCGGCTGATTAGACTTTTGTATTAACAAGCAGTTGGACACATGTACCTAATGAAGTGGCCGGTAAGTGTATTATTATTATTATTATGTAAAAACCAAATATTAACTTATATGTAATTTATGCAATTTGCATATATTACCATATATCAGATGTTTTTGGGAAAGTAATAAAAAGCAAACACTTCCATCCAAAAGTTTGAGGTTATTATTATTCTATTTTTTAAAGAAATAAGACTTTAATTAAGCAAAGGACATGTTGAATTGATCAAAAGAGACAGTAAAGATTGCTACAAACCCTGTACTTTTGACCTATTGATTAAATCATTCTGATAGAAAAGTATCATAACAGTTTCTATAAAAATATGTAGTGCTTACAACAGTTAAAATTGATAATTAGAAATGTTCTAAAAAAAAAAAAGGATCTTGTGACACTGATGACAAGAGAAATTATGTTAAAAAAGTCAGCTTTAAATTCTAGAAATAAATAGTATTTTATCAATTATTAAAATGAAAAAAACTATTCTAAAAGAAAATAATATTTCAAAATTGTACACATTTATTGTGTTTTTGATCATTTAAGTAGGGCAGTGTGATCATTTGCAATATTCACAATGCAGGATATATGCAATGTTGAGTTTGTATTAAAATGTATCATTTGCATGCATTTATTTTAATGCATGTAATTATATGATGACCCTAAAAGCATTCAGGTATAAGAGATTGTACCATTTGTGACCTTAACTAGAATTAATTAAATAGAATTATTTACATTTTTATCATTCAGTGACTGTACTTGAATACTGTTAGACTCAGGACATGATAAAGTACTTTATTTCAATCGTATCTTTATCTTTAATATAAACAATAAAAACAATCTTTATATGATTGTATTATAGATTTTTATGTATTTACAGTATAGATTGTTGTGCATGACAATACTCACAACACATGCAAATACAGAAATGCACCACAAATAGCACAGACACTAGACACAAAACTATTCCTAGAGTATGCGTAAGATTTTTAATTTAGTTTTTTTATACGTTTTTTTAGGAGTATATTCAGCAGAAAGTTATCCAAAGACGCTGTTTTAAATTGTAAATAAATCAGTGTTTTTTAAACTAATGAAGACAGCAGAAGTCATTGATTTGTTTAAATTATTTATCCTGACAGATTTACTGTTTTAAAATATTATAATTCTTTCAAAAAATAAATATATTGTTTTCAAATGGAAAAAAAAAAATTGTTGTCTTTTAACAACAATTACAACAACAATTAGACATTTAAAAAGAATATATTTCAGCGCAGTAACCACAATACCGTGAAACCGTGATATTTTTTTTCCAAGGTTATCATATCGTCATAATCTTAAACTGGCCCATACCTAACAGACACCAACAAAAATGTTGTCGGGAAACCCCAAAAGTTTTATAGATTGTTTATTAGACTTTATGTCATGCATGCCTGCTGCTGAATCATCCTAATCAACCAAAAAGTATAAATTATTTCCAATAAGAGACATTAAGTCATCTGGTGAAAGTGTATTCATATTGCAATATACATCGCAAAATATGAATGTTTGATTTTTCCAACAACTTTTAAAACATTAAACTCACACTTTTGAATAACAGCAATAATGTAAATCATTTGAATGCATGGTATCATTGTTTTAAGAGATAATAAAGAGTGTTGACATGAACAAAGCGTACCAGAACACACAGTGGAAGGATGAGTATCCTCTGAAGAGGAAACCTGGAGAGGATCTGAGCCTGCGGCATTCTGACACTGTGAAAGCACAAATCCTTTGATGAATGATTAATGGAGGACACTGCTTGCCATTATCCCTCCAAACTGTGTGAACAACAAGCAACCGTTGCTTATTATTAATCTACAGCCTTTTTAATGTTCATAATAAAGTCATGGTCTAGAAAACTGCACCTTGAACTCCAACATCCAAACAATGAATGCACAATTAATTCCTGTACATAACAATTTAATATCTGATTCACATCATTAACAACTTTTCAATCCATTAATTAATTACCTCATAAATATAAATATATATATATATATATATATATGAGGGCAATGAAAATTTAACAAATAAATTAAATAATTGTTCATTAATTGTAATCGAGTTAAAATGTTCAATTAACCGAGATTTTGATTTTAGGCCAAATCGCCCGGCCCTAGATTATAAACATTAATATTGTAGATATTATGTGCAGAATCGTGTTTATATTATAAAGCTTTTTAACCTTTTTTATTATACTATTTTGTACACAGAACAAGAGTTTACAAGATTAGTTTCAGAAATGTTCTATGATAATATAAAAGTGTCACTTATAAGGTTTACTTTATGTCTATATCTAAATTAATTATTAATATAATGTTTTGCGTAACATTGCAGTAATATACTGTGTAATACTATATTATATATTATATGCAGTACTTGTACTTACAATATAGACATTACTTATTATATATTAATATATAACAATTATATAACTAATTATTATTATTATTGTTATTGTTATTATTATTATTATTATTATTATTATTATTATTATTTAACACTGCTTTGTGTTATGTATTGAAAACAGACTTTAATCAAATTTGAATAGTAAAATATTGATATATTTTGAAAGAAAAATTGTGATAAATAAGATAATAATAAAATAATATTAATAACAATAAAAATACTACTACTACTACTACTACTACTACTAATAATAATAATAATAATAATAATAACACTAATAAAAATATGAATAATAATAATATTATTATTAATAATAACAATAATTATAAAATAACAATAATAATAATAATAATAGCAATAATAATAATAACAACAGCAACAACAAAAATAAAAAATACGAATAATAGTAATAATAATCATAACAATAATAAAAAATAATGATGATAATAATAATAATAATAAATAAATAATAATAGCACCACATAATAATACAAGTAAACAATATGCAATATAATTATTAGTTTTATTATTATTACTACTATAAACAAATTTAAATTAAAATGTGCATAATAAAATATTGATATAGAAAATTTGTGATAAGCTTATAATAATAATAATAATAATAATAATAATAATAACAACAACAACAAAACGACAATACATACTAACAATATGCAACACCTACTTAAAAGTATTTTATTGGGCTACTACAAACAAACAAACAATTAAACAATTAATTAAATAAATAAATAAATAAATAAATAAATAAATAAATAAATAAATAAATAAATAAATAAATAAATAAATAAATAAAAAGTCTTATAATTCCTAAGTTGTGGGTGTAAGTCAGTTTTTTTAAAGTTTCCTGATTTCTGCACTGATATCTGGTTTCTGTTTGTGAGAACTTTCTTACCGGTGTGTCGGTCTCCGGTGATCTGCGCTCAGTAAGGGTTGAAGATCCAGAGTCTGTCCGGGTCCCGCGCTGGATGAACAGCTCCTCAAATGAAAGCCTGCGGTCTGATTCCTGTAATCTGATCTCCCATCTGCAAGAACATCAAAGCTGCAGACAAGTCCGAGACAAAGGCGCTTTAAACAGCCCCGGTCACTCACTCCATGAGTAAATCCCAAATGCCAGACACTCCGATACGAGAAAGAGAAAGAGAAAAGTCCTCCTGCGAGCTCCTAAAAGCGGCGAGTGAGTGTGTGAGTGTGTATGTGTGATTGGATCTGCGCGTGTTTGATGCAGAAATGCTTTCATCTCGACGACGTCACCAGGCGCGCCGTGATTGGCTGGATCGTCTGCAGGAAAAAAGAAAATTGTTTTCGTATCGATTTCTTGAAATCAGTCATTTATATAACATGTAATTAATATACAACCATATTAAGTACACTCGAATGACTTGAAAGTCGTAATTTTTTATAACAAAATATCAAAGCTAGTAAGATTTTTAAAATGAAAACAATACAGCATTCAACCATAATAACATCAACAATGACAATGTTTTCTGTAAAATGTTTGCGTAAACAATGTGTAAGTTCAAGTGTTAGTAAATATTTGTTCAATGATATTTTAGTACTCGATGCCATCTGCTGGTCATTAAGACAATTACACTTAATGTCTGTGTGTCTGTCTATCTATCTATCCATCTATCTATCTATCTATCTATCTATCTATCTATCTATCTATCTATCTATCATCATTGTTGGGAAAACTGTGATAAATAATAAAATCTACAGTTTTTGTAGATTCTTAATGAAGAAAAATAGACAAACAGATCGATTTACACTCACCAGCCACTTTATTGTGTACACCTGTCCAACTGCTTGTTAGCGCAAACTTCTAATCAGCCAATCACATGACAGCATCTTAATGCATTTAGACATCGCTGCGTCCCAAATTGCATACTTATGCACTATTCTACGTCATTTTGTAGTGTAAACAGTGTAAGTAGTGCGTTCACACTGAAAACTCTAAAAATAATAAGTGCACTTTAATTACCCGGATGATGCATTCATTCAGCCGGTAAAATTAAAGCTGCGTCCTAAATGGCATATTATACACTATGCACTTATGCACTATGTACTTATGCACTTATACACTCAACAGAATAGCATTGTATGTAGTGTCGTCCCAAATGGAGCACTAATGTTTCTTTACTAAGCGGAAATTCAAACCGTTTCCCTGATGACGTTTGACGGTTGCCAAATCAGTTAAATAAACAGCCGAATTATCAAATAATACCTGCCGTGAGTATAGCCGCATTCACCATCTGGAGGCGCTATAATCACTCTCGTAGGAGAATTTTGCTTTCACAATCCACAATAAATAAAGTTATCTAACATGTGCACCCAATAGCTCCGCCCCTTCTGCTACATGAGCAAACCTGCGGTCGTTGAGTGCTAATAGAAAGGCAACAGTAACTCAATTAACCACTCGTTACAACCGAGGTATGCAGAAGAGCATCTTTGAACACACAACACGAGGCAGGACCTTGAGGCGGATGGGCTACAGCAGCAGAAGACCACACCGGGAGCCACTCCTGTCAGCTAATAAAAGGAAACTGAGGCTACAATTCACATAGGCTCACCAAAATGGGAAAATAGAAGATTGGAAAAACATGGCTTGATCTGATGAGTTGAAATTTCTGCTGCGCTATTTGGATGGTAGGGTCAGAATTTGGCATCACCATCATGATAGCATGATCCTGCCTTGTATCTACGGTTCAGGCTGCTGGTGGTGTAATGGTGTGGGGGATATTATCTTTTGTATCAATTGAGCATCATGTCATTAGCCCCTTTCACACATACAGACCTTTCCGGAAAATTGCCAGCAATTTTCCGGAAAGGTTGTATGTGTGAACAGGTCCTTTTTGAAAATACCGGTAAATTCGTTCTGGCTATTTTCCGGAAAGAGAAGTTGTAACATTACCGGTAATTTGCCGGAATGCTGCGCTGTGTGAATGCAGAAGGAAGATTCCCGTAATAAGCGCGTGCACGTCTAGAACGTGCTGACGTGAGACGTCTGCTTTAGCCAATCACAACAGTCAGACGCATTTACGTCCGCGCGGTTTGTGAGGATAAAAACCTTTGAATATTTTTCCAGACACATTTAGCTGCTAGAAGTTAGTCAGATCACGTTTATATGTTCTTCTTAATGCCAACTGTGTAAATAATCATCGATGAGATGCTTATGATAAGCCGTTGTTTGTTTACCTTCAAGCTTTGCGTGCGCCTATGAGCGCCAGCACACGCACATATTATGAACATCTCGACATGCGAAAGTGATCCTGCGAAAGTTGTTCACAATATTGATCATCCACAGAGTTTGTAATTTAGTCAAATGTTTACAAATACAAGCGCAGCCGTTTAAAGCTCATTTGTGTTGAATGATGTCAGAATTTACCGGTATTTTGGAATGGATGTGTGAATGCTTTTTTCCGGAAAATTTCCGTAACGTCCTCGCCTGTGTGAACAGCGCTTTTTTTAATACACCGGTAAAGTCGTTCCGGAAATTTTCCGGATATTTACCGGTATCACTGTGTGAAAGGGGCTATTGCCGCATCCTACCTACATCCTAGTATTGTTGCTGACCATGTCCATCTCTTTATGACCACAGTGTACCCATCTTCTGATGGCTACTTCCAACAGGATAATGTGCCATGTAATAAAGAGCAAATCATCTCAGACTGGTTTCTTGAACATGACAATGAGTTCACTGTACTCTAATGGCCTCTACAGTCTTCAGATCTCAATCCAATAGAGCACCTTTGGGATGTGGTGGAAAGGGAGATTTTCATCAAGGTTTGTGCAGCCGACAAATCTGCAACAACTGCGTGATGCTATCATGTCAATATGGACCCAAATCACTCAGGAATATTTTCAGTACCTTGATGAATCTGCCACGAAGGATTAAGGCAGTTCTGAAGGCAAAAGGGGGTTCAACCCGGTACTAGTAAGGTATACCTAATAAAGTGGCTGGTGAGTGTATTTTTTGACCAATTTCAACATTAAAAATGTAAACATCTTTCTAAACCACAACTTTGGACTGTTCTAAAAATTGAAAATAAAAACTTAATTACTAACCGGTTATCTCCTAAAAAAAAAAAAAGTTTGAGTTTGAGGAAAATATATTTTTAACATGTTAAAAAACACAACAGGTTACTGTAGTCTGAGAGCCTCGGGATGAGTATCCCCTGGGGCAAATATAGAATAATTTGCGTAGCTGCTGTTCATAGTGCATATAAATGAGATGCAAAAATCCTGAGTGGATTCACATTCATCCCTAAGTGATGCACTGAGTGTATGCTTTGCTAAAAAGATGGGGTTTTAATCTAGTTTTGAACTGCGAGAGTGTGTCTGAGCCTTTGACATTATCAGGAGGGCTATTCCAGAGTTTGGGAGCCATAAATGAGAAGGCTCAACCTCCTTTACTTGACTTTGCTTTTCTAGGTACTACGCGAATCCCAGAGTTTTGAGATCTTAAAAAGCGGGTTGGATTGTAGCGAGACAGAAGGTTGGTTAGATAAACAGGAGCTTGATTATTTAAAGATGTATAGGCAAGAAGCAATATTTTAATTTAATACGGAACCTAACAGGCAGCGAGTGTAAGGAGGATAAAATTGGGGTGAAATTATCATATTTTCTAGACCTGGTAAGAACTCTGGCAGCTGCATTTTGTACTAGCTGAAGTTTACTAATAGAGGTTGCTGGGCAGCCAGCAAACAGAGCATTACAGTAATCCAGCCTAGAAGTCATAAAAGCACAACAGGTTACTGTGAAGTTGGTTTTAATGTCGGGGTATTGACCTTATTCTGAAATGCGGAAGTGCGCCTGTTTTCGCAATTGTCTTAGAACTTCCGATTCAGTCGCCTATGGGAGAAATGACTAGGAATAATAAACGGCAGAAAATGGCCAAACTACTTGCTCAACAAACAAATGTTTGCATGACTACACAGACCAAGTGGCATAATATAATAAGAAAATATTAAATTGCAACATCAAGCAGCGTAACAAGCAGTTGTTAACGTCAAAAAATGAATGGAAGTGAATGTGACCGGAAGTCGCGAGACAAAAAGATTCAAATGTCAGCGCCCGCTCGACAGCTGAGAATAAGGTGAATAGGTGTACTGTAGATGTTAATAAAACACAACAGACTACTGTGAGTTTGGGGTATAGGTGTAGACATTAAAAAACACAACAGGTTACTGTGATGATGGGCTTAGGGTTGGGGTATAGGTGTAGACATTAATAAAGCACAACAGGTTACTGTGAGTTTGGGGTATAGGTGTAGACATTAATAAAACACAAAAGGTTACTGTGAGGTTGGGTTTGGGGTATAGGTGTATACGTTTATAAAGCACAACATGTTACTGTGAGGTTGGATTTAAGGTTGGGGTATAGGTGTAGACGTTAATAAAACACAACAGGTTATTGTGAGGTTGGATTTAAGGTTGGGGTATAGGTGTAGACGTTACTAAAACAACAGAATGCTGTAAGGTTGGGTTTGGGGTTGGGGTACAAATGTAGACGATAATAAAGCACAACAGGTTACTGTGAGTTTGGGGTATAGGTGTAGACGTTAATAAAACACAACAGGTTACTGTGAGGTTGGGGTATAGGTGTAGACGTTAATAAAACACAACAGGTTACTGTGAGGTTGGGGTATAGGTGTAGATGTTAATAAAACACAACAGGTTACTGTGAGGATGGGGTATAGGTGTAGACATTAATAAAACACAACAGGTTACTGTGAGATTGGGGTATAGGTGTAGACATTAATAAAACACAACAGGTTACTGTGAGATTGGGGTATAGGTGTAGATGTTAATAAAACACAACAGGTTACTGTGAGGATGGGGTATAGGTGTAGATGTTAATAAAACACAACAGGTTACTGTGAGATTGGATTTAGGGTTGTGGTAAGTGTAGATATCAATAAAACACAGGAGGTTGGACTCCATGTGATGTACACAACATAAAAAAAAAAAATCTATGAAAACTCCAGGATTGTACAGCCTACTTGAAGCTCAAGTCCCACCCACCTGGATCTGGCTCTGGCTCCGTTTATACCAGGGGTCTCAAACTCGCGGCCCGCAGGCCATTTGCGGCCCTCAGTGCAATATTTTGTGGCCCGCGCCGACCGCTGTACTCTGACAGAATCAGCGGAGCGGGGAGAGAGAGCGCTCCCCGCTCCGCTGATTCTATCCATACACAGCGCGCTTGTCACTCAATGCGCGTTGTCGTCATTGGGGGATAAGCAAATCGTACTAAATTGTACGAATTAGATCGTACGAATTCATACGAATTAGCCACTAAATGAAAAAGTTACGAATTGCCGTGAGATTGTGTTGATATTATAGGTAGATACAGACTGGTACAGACTGATGTGACTGGAGTGGGGTGGGGGTGTTTTATTTATACATATATACGCCTTTTTTTTAGGTGAGGGAATGGAAGTTTTGAGTGAGTTCCCCCACTTTTTTCCCTAGGACTTCAATAAGTCAAAGTACAGGTCTAGACTTAATGATGATCATCTTCAAGCCATACTGAGGGTCTCAACTGCTTCCGCTCTAAACCCAAATGTGGTTCAGATTTGTGAGAAGAAGCGCTGTCAAGTCTCTGGCAGCAAGAAGTAGGCAAAAGATGCCATGTTCAGAAGAACTGTTCATAATCTTCACTCAATGTTCTATTAATGTTCAGGACACTTCATGTTCAGAAGAAATAATTTGAACTGTTAATAATGACATTTTAGGACTTTTTTTTTGTGAAATCCCTTATGCGGCCCAGCCTCAACCAGACTTTGCCTCCTGCGGCCCCCAGGTAAATTGAGTTTGAGACCCCTGGTTTATACCCTTCTTGAAAAAGCAGGCATTTGACATCATTCACTAAATGCATCTCATTTTCTTTACAATAAATGTCGATTACATGCATTATTCACTTGTTGGTTTCTTTATTGAGTACACCTGTTCATTAATGCAAATAAATAATCAACCAATCACTTGGTGACATTTAGACATTGTCGAGACAATCTGCTGAAGTTCAAACAGAGAGTACCAAATGATTCACGTAGTTTTCTTTCCACCCACCAAATTTTATGCACATTCTGAAAACTTGCAGAAAAAGGCCAACATGCGCATACATTTTTAGATCATGTAATAACAAAAACAGGTGTGAAGGGTCAAACCAGCCTACCACATTGCACAATAAATGAAATTATGTTTTCTGTCATTCTATAATCCCCTCAGCAAAAGTCTATCATCAATACGTTTCAGTATTATTACATCCAGAAGTGTCTTGAGTATCTGCCTCCCCAAAAATCTCACACCTCAAAAAGCCACAGTGCGTTCACTGAGATTCTTCAAAGGCGCAAATAAATTATTACATAAGAACTACGGCAAATTGCATTTTTTTCTTTTTGATATTTGGCACCAGTTCATCAAGAAGCAATGATTTTGTTCTCTTTGACTCATTGGAAGCTTTATTCGGAAATGAATCTTAATGGCTTCACATGGAAAATAGACTGTTCACTTTGAGGTTGAAGTTGTCAGATGGGCTGTTCTGAGTATTTCAGAAACTACTGATCAGCTGTGATCTTCACACACAACAATAATCACTTTTTCAACAGAGGTCTGCAGAAGATTGATGCGAACACAGCACATCATAATACCTTAAAGCAGATGAGCTACAGCAGAAAAAGCGCACAGTCCTTCAAGTTCATCAGAATCCAGTAGAGCTTTTTTAGGACGTGCCAGGAACAGGAGATTCACACGTCAAATCTGCAGCAACTGTATGATTCAGTCATTCCAATATGGAGCAAAATCTCTGAACAATGTTTCCAGCATATTGTAGAATCAACGTCAGAAATAACTCGGGGAGTTCTGAAAAGCAAACTGGGAACTGAACCAGTTACTGGCAATATAATAATATGCCAGAGAGAGTTAGTCTTTAGTATTCTCCTTTCTGCACATCACATTTATACTTCTGTAATCCAGAATATGGTTAAAGAGCCCTCTCTGAACAGACTATGTGCTCTGTACTGAAATGCCAGTGGTTTGGTCATAGTGATGCTTTCGCATTCAACCATTACATCAATCCACACACCAAGCTGTGGTTTGTTTCTTGAGCGTCCTTAAAGAATCTGAAAATGAAGGAGCTCCTCAAGAGGCACTGAAACAGACACTGACACAGTTTAAAAACAAACTCTACTTCATTGATGCTGAACTTCATCAAAGCGCACTGTTTTGTGGTATTGCTCCATCTGGGGTTTCAGCATCAGTCAGTGTGAAAGTGTCAATAGCTATGTCTTCAGGCTCATCTGCAAAAAAAAATAGGCAGATATTTGTAAGAAATAGAAGCACAATTTATAGATGGAGATTTCATTTATAATCTATATGCAAAAATTATTTCAAAAATAAATAAAAGCTTGTATTTAAATTTGTACTGTGCATTTATATACACAAATACATACAGTTGAAGTCAGAATTATTCGCCACCATTTGAATTTTTTTTTCTTTTTTAATTTTTAATTATTTCTTTTATTTCGGCTGGAATAGAAGCAGTTTTTAATTTTTTTTAATTAGTCTTTAATTTTTTAAATAACATTTTAAGGTCAAAATTATTAGCCCCTTTAAGTGATACATTTTTTTTTCAATAGTCAACAGAACAAACTTGTTATACAATAACTTGCCTAATTACCCTAACCTGCCTAGTTAACCTAATTATCCTAGTTAAGCCTTGAATGTCACTTTAAGCTGTATAGAAGTGTCTTGAAAAATTTCTAGTCAAATATTATTTACTGTCATCATGACAAAGATAAAATAAATCAGTTATTAGAAATAAGTTATTAAAACTATTGTGTTTATAAATGTGTTGAAAAAAAATCTTCTCACCCTTAAACAGAAATTGGGGAAAAAATAAACAGGGGGTCTAATAATTCTGACTTCAACTGTATATATAATTCAAGTAGGGTTGCACAATATATCGTTTCAGCATCGATATCACAAATTCGCTATAGTCACATCGTGAATATACGTAATGTTGAGTCTGGATTATAATAATTTGCATGTGTTTTTAAGAACTGTGACTGTGTGAGGGTTTTAAAAGCATTCAGGCATAATACATTGTACTGTTTGTAACTCTGAAAAGTGAATAATGATGAATTATATTGAATTTGTTAACCAGTTAAACTCTACTACTATTTTGGGATTTCTGCCTAGATTTTGCCTACCTAAATTTAAAAGCTTTCCAAATCCACATGCAGAGTTGTAAATGCAAAAACTTGGTATCATTTTGAAGAAAACTCTTTGAATTTTCATAAAACACTATTGAAAGTGTTTCAAATAACTGTATATGTTGTCTGTGTTATAATAAACACTTAAAAAAACAGAGGCGCTTTTTGTATTTTTTTTTTTTTTTTATAAACTAAAATTTGAAAGTGTACCTTTTAGGTTCTGTGTGGTCTAGCGTGCTGTAATTAATTTTGGTGGTTCCTGCACATTTCTGTAATCATAGGAAAAATAAAAAAAATGTCTCTACCATGATCTACGCAAAAGTTAATGTATTCCAATAACTGATGAGAGGTGCTATACAAGCCACAGGAACAGATCATTGTTTTCATATTTCACTATTCTTTTGTTTGATCAAACATAATTCACAGTGTTTGGTCCACATCAGACTTATAAAAAGATAAGTAATGCACATCACCTCAAAAACAGAGGAGAAATGACCCTGAAGAGCACAGCATAAGGTAAGAGATGACAGCTGTCTGTGCTATCTGGGGCTGCTTATTGATCATAAATGTATTGTTGTCACTTCTGCGCCATGGAAACACCGCGATTCATTCGACAACTGTTTGATATGTGAATATAATTCAGTAAAAAGAATACTAGAACTGTATGAGCACCAGCAAGAGCTTTCATTTGAGCTATAACTTGTACATGTGTCATATATCAACCATATGAAAATGAACCAATGTTCAATGCCCAGCTCGGGTATCCAAATACTGTGTAATTAAGTGTAAATAACTTTTTTACAGTAGTATAAAAACCAAAGTGATGCATGTGTGCATAAAATATAGATTCTAAACTTTCAAACGAAACCACTTACGGGGGTCTGGTGCAATCCTAGCCCTTTAAATCTTAAATCGAATGTTGATGATGTCACAAACCTGGCACCGGGTCCGCAGAGTTTAACTGGTTAATAAAACAAAGACTATGCAGTATTATTTTATATCTGATTATTCAATTACTCTATACCTGAATAGATTTTAACTCAAAAACAACAGAGCACCGTTTATGTAATTAGTTATCTTTTTCTTTATTAAATTTATCTAAGCTTGTCAATTGTTTCTTATATTCTATGTACTGCTCGACAGAATCATCCCAATCAGTCTAAAATTAAAGAATATTTTCAAACAGTTATTCAACTCACCTAGTGAAACTGCGTTTCATGATGTTTGATGATGAAACAAGTTTGATGATGTATATTTACTATTAAATGACTATAAAGTTTTAATCATTATTAAGAGGTTAAGTGAAAAAAATGGCATCAAATCACAGCAGGTGAATATTAACATTACTTTTATTAAGCTTGAACTTGACTTATCCAGAGAGTTAGCCTGCCCCAGACCAGACTAGTTTACCAGCATTAGTTGCCATAGTAACTGAGTTTAAACTATTATAAATTTGATTTAAGAAACCGAATCCGCCATTAAAAAACCTGACTTATGAAAATAAGCCTGGCTTTTTCTCTAAGCTTGCACAGCCCCCAGGAGATAAAGAATTGTATTTAAATCACTGTGTTTATATGGAATTTATATGATTTAGGCAAAAAATAAAAAACTTACATAATTTTTGTCTTGTTTCAAAATATCTACATTTAAAGCGAAAACATGATCATTTATCACAGAAAAATAAAATATTGTGCACCCTAACTTCTAGTGTTATTTTTACATTTTATGAAAAGCAATGATTACAGTTTCTCGATTTTTTTTATTATGTTTTATTTCGTGTTCAACACAATAAAGAAATCATTTGAAACCACTTGAGGGCAAGTACATTTTTTACTTTTAGGTCACAGGTGTCAAACTCAGTTCCAAAAGGGCCGCAGCTCTGCACAGTTTAGTTCCAACCCTAATTAAACACACCTGATCAAACTAATTGAGTCCTTCAGGCTTGTTTGAAACCTACAGGTAAGTGTGTTGGAGCAGGGTTGGAACTAAACTGTGCAGGGCTTCGGCCCTCCAGGAATTGAGTTTGACACCCCTGTTTTAGGTGAACTATGCCTTTAAATCTAATAAGTTTCCTTTTAATATTTAATGGATAAATGATGTCACCTCATTTAAACCATTTTTAATCACTTTTCTGTTTGTTTACTGTAGTTTCTCCCACAATAAGCATCATGTGGCATTTGGAAATGATGAATATACCGTTTCAGTGAGAGACATGGTGGGTGTTTTGTACAGCTCAATACGGAGATTCCTACTGGGTAAAAGAAAAACGGGCTACTTATGGTCATGGTAATATCTGACCGTTAAATCAGCATAAACGTGAAGCACACCTTTAATCCCAACGTCGGTGGTTTCTTTCTTTATAACACGGCGCTTCTTCTCCGGGGGAATGCGGTGACCGAGCCACAGTGTCGGATAGGGATTTTTCTCTGTCGGCTTCTTGTCAACAAAGTGAAACGAGCAGACGTACAGGGCCTTTGGTGGCCTTTTCAGGTACAGGTTTCTGAGCCAAATCCTCCGGTCCTCCTCGTCAGTGGGAAGCCGATAGAAATAATACCATTGCGGACAGGAGCAGTCCGACTTCGTGAGCGGTTTGTGATCATAACACTCCTGCTTTAACCACACGTTTAGTTTTTTCCGGTTGTAGTGACAACCACGAACTGCACACGTCGTCCCGGAGCCTATCGAAGGCATTTTACAAGAAGGACTAAAAAATGAAACCGACAAGCGAACGCTAGCTTTAATCACAACACAACTCACCAGCCTACCGGAAGTTACGTTCACGTGATTTAAACACATGGAGCTAAAGGGAGACCAGCGGATAGAAAATAACAAATAAAAAGAAAAAAAGAAGTGAGATACTTGAATTCGCACTGCTTATTGCTTATAGTGCGGACAATTCACTAATGGCCATTGTTTTACTACGCGCCAAAAAGCTTTTGCGTGAATTATGGGAGTAACTTGAGTTCAAATCTGAGTACGAGATGGCATGCGTTAATCACCTCACTGAATAAAAAATATACTTAGTAAGTTTTCCACAGCAATGTTACATATATGTTGAATATTTCTGGAGCTTTCATCACAGATATTGGAGATATTGTGACGATATACAAAAGGTTTATATTGGATAAAACAAATGTAAGCCCATCCGAACGTATATTTTATTCAATCTATAGCCTAAATATAATAACTCTATAAATTAAATCAAATATTTAAAATGAATTTCAGATCGTTTCACTTTTGAACGAATTTTTTCCCAAACTGGAAGTGCAACCATTTTCCACAAGGTGGCGCAAATGTATCTTTTTTTGGCTAAAACTGCAACATGCATATATATATATATATATATATATATATATATATATATATGTGTGTGTGTGTGTGTATACAGTAAAATTGTGAAATGTTATTGCACTATAAAATAAAAACTGTTTATAATTTAATTGAATAATTTATTTCAGTGATTTTAAAGATGAATTTTCAGCTTCATTGCTCCAGTCTTCAGTCACATGATCCTTCAGAAATCACTAATATTAATCATTAGTATTACGGTTTTTATTATTATTATTATTATTATTATTATTATTATTATTATTATTAATGTAAATAGTAATAAAAGCAGCAATGATTTCAGTAATTAATTTCATTTGAAACTATATACAATAAGTAGTAAATAAATATTTAACATTTCTTTTACATTTAATGAATGCCGCTTTGATGAACAGAATAATTTTGTTTAAAAAAACATGAAAAAAAACTGACCCCAAACTTTTGACCGGTAGTGTAACTGATTTAAATTAGATGGAAAAGGTAGAGTCTAAAAAAGTTAAACATTTGTAAAAAAAAAAATAAAATAAAAAAATAAAAATCAGTTTCTAATCTTAATAAATTAACTATCAAATCGTGTTTTCGCGCAGTAGGTTGGGCTGTCGCCTCACAGAAAGAAGGTTGCTGGTGGAGTTTGCACGTTCACCCTGCATTTGCGTGGTTTCCCCCAAAGTCCAAAGACATGCGGTACAGTTGAATTAGGTAAGCTAAATTGTCCATAGTGTATGAGTGTGAATGTGAGAGTGTATGGATGTTTCCCAGAGATGGGTTGCAGTTGGAAGGGCATCCACTTAGCAAAGCATGTGCTGAACAAGTTAGCGGTTCATTCCACTGTGGCGACCCCAGATTAATAAAGGGACTAAGCCAAAAAGAAAATGAATGAATGAATCGTGTTTTCCATGAAGAAAACTTTAATCACATTCTGAGAGACTTTATCACCCTGCAGCCCAAGACTGGTTACTGAAGCTAAGCAGGGCTAAGGCTTGTTAGTACCCCGATGGGAGACCACATTGGAAAACTAGGTCGCTGTTGGAAGTGGTGTTAGAGAGATGCTCAAACTGTGGTCTTTGTGAGTCCTAATGCCCCAGTGTAGTAAAGTGGACACTATAATGTCAGTGAGCACCATTTTTGCATGAGATGTTAAACTGAGTTCCTGACGCTCTGTGGTCATTAAAAATCACAGGTAGCCCGCGAGGATCACATGTGTTGCCCGCTGGCCTGTTCTTAAAATAGCTCACCATAGCACCACTTACCAGTAAGCTTCATCTAATATAGAAGTAATCATTAAAAAATTTAGATATTTACAGAGATATATAAAAATAAAGTGTTGCACACTGATACATTAAATACAGGGTATTTCCTACCCTGTTAAATCATTGTTAATAACTTTTGTGAGAATCATTAACATGATCAGTGTCTTCACATGGATGAATATCATTAATTATTACCAAAAAACATAAAGTATGATTCAAAGTAAATTGAGCAAATTTGTTATTTGAGAAGTGTTTATCAAACTGGTAGCCCTCCACATTAATCGGTAACCAAGAAGTAGCTCTCAGTTTCATAAAGGTTGGTGACCCCTGCTCTAATAGCTGGTATGTGGTGTGCACATTGGCGCTGTTGTCCTGTGGCTGTTGTCACATCATCCAGGTGGATGCTGCAGACTTCTTGTTGTTTGGAGAGACCCCCTAGGCTAGTGCGGGCTAATGACCGTGAAGTGCTTTGGGTGTATACCCAAACACAATAAAATGTGCTATATACACATTATATTACACTGAACTATTTTTTTTTTTAAATACATTTTCTCAAACAGCTTCAAATGTTTAAGCCATCTTTTTGTGACAAAGGCATCACATTGTTTCATTAAAAGGACATGAAACCCCCTAATTTCAGCAGGGTGTTTTTCACACTTCTACTTTGGAAAAAGTCAGGAAAGTGGGCGTGTCCAGCGCTGTTTAGGGGGGTGTCAGAGGAGGGGAAAAGGCATGGTCCGTAAAAAATGTGCATAAAAATGGGAGTGTTGGTTTGGGCACGCGCTGATTTTCACACAGGCAAAACAAACACACAGACACAAAGGAAAAAGACAGTGATTGTGTGTACATGGACATCAGTAATTCAAATTATTAAATAGTGGCTGCAGTTAACTGCGGTTTTCTCTTTCATTCTTGAATTTCATTCATGCCCCTCGTGACAAACGAGATATTTGATTTGAGAAACTGCTGTAAGCTTGTATGTTTAATGCATTGTTTGATAACGCACGGCGAATGAGAGAAAGAAAACCCTCCGCATTTCTCTGTAATTTAGATCCACTCGGTAGGTAACGTCTCAAAGCCGTGTGTGTTGTTCTTGTCACAAAATGCGGTAAGTTTGATTATGTTGCTAACACATTTACACTCGGGAGGGCAGCATTTAGAGCTGATTTTTCAGTCCATAATATTGTAGTGATGTTAACGTACGGTAAACTTTATTAACTTAGAAATCACTTGACTAACGTCCGTCTTTAAACACTGAAAGAGTACTGCTGACGATACAAACTAACTTGCCTCTGAACAAAGACCACTAGTCGCTCACTTACCAAATCTGTAGAGACAGGACAAACAACACAAACTGGATCCATGTCTTTATTAAAAAGAGACGAGCTGCAAATCCGGAATTCACCAGATGAGAAAAGCTCTTGGCTAAACAATGTTCCTTAGACACGTATTTCTGTCGCGCGTCGTGTGCACAACATACAAAATACAGCGCGCTGATTGGTTTGAACCAAGTCTTACTCATGAATGAACGCAGCACACTCAGAGACGTAATAAGGAACTCCCAGGTACAGATGTCCAGTCTACACGCTGGAATACATTCTAAGATCTCATGGCCGTGTCGCAGCATCAAAAGTTTGTTTTAAACCGGAAGTACGAATTTGCTCGAAATAATGCAAAAACAACAAATTTTCAGTTTTTTGTGAAATATATGTGTCCTAATAGTGTTTTTAGCAGTGTGTGAGACACATTCATGACTGTCAACAGCTCAAAAAATGTGTTTTGGTGTTTCGTGACCCTTTAAAGGCATGGTGTGTAATTTTTTGAGCACTTACTAGCAGCAGGAACAACGGATCACAGGCAATGGAGTTTGATGCCCTTTAATAACTGTGATAGTTAAGTTTAAGGTTTGAGGAAAGTGTAGATATTAATAACAATGAAGTTTTGGGTTGAGGAAGGTGTAGACGTTAATAACTATGATGACTGGGTTTAGGGTCAGGGAAGGTGTAGACGTTAATAACTGTGATGACTGGGTTTAGGGTCAGGGAAGGTGTAGACGTTAATAACTGTGATGACTGGATTTAGGGTCAGGGAAGGTGTAGACGTTAATAACTATGATGACTGGGTTTAGGGTCAGGGAAGGTGTAGACGTTAATAACTATGATGACTGGGTTTAGGGTCAGGGAAGGTGTAGACGTTAATAACTGTGATGACTGGATTTAGGGTCAGGGAAGGTGTAGACGTTAATAACTGTGATGACTGGATTTAGGGTCAGGGAAGGTGTAGACGTTAATAACTGTGATGGTTGGGTTTAGGGTCAGGGAAGGTGTAGACGTTAATAACTGTGATGACTGGGTTTAGGGTCAGGGAAGGTGTAGACGTTAATAACTATGATGACTGGGTTTAGGGTCAGGGAAGGTGTAGACGTTAATAACTGTGATGGTTGGATTTAGGGTCAGGGAAGGTGTAGACGTTAATAACTGTGATGACTGGGTTTAGGGTCAGGGAAGGTGTAGACGTTAATAACTGTGATGACTGGGTTTAGGGTCAGGGAAGGTGTAGACGTTAATAACTATGATGACTGGGTTTAGGGTCAGGGAAGGTGTAGACGTTAATAACTATGATGACTGGGTTTAGGGTCAGGGAAGGTGTAGACGTTAATAACTATGATGACTGGGTTTAGGGTCAGGGAAGGTGTAGACGTTAATAACAGTGATGACTGGATTTAGGGTCAGGGAAGGATGTAGACGTTAATAACTGTGATGACTGGGTTTAGGGTCAGGGAAGGTGTAGACTTTAATAACTATGATGACTGGGTTTAGGGTCAGGGAAGGTGTAGACGTTAATAACTATGATGACTGGGTTTAGGGTCAGGGAAGGTGTAGACGTTAATAACTATGATGACTGGAGTTAGGGTCAGGGAAGGTGTAGACGTTAATAACTGTGATGACTGGGTTTAGGGTCAGGGAAGGTGTAGACGTTAATAACTATGATGACTGGGTTTAGGGTCAGGGAAGGTGTAGACGTTAATAACTATGATGACTGGGTTTAGGGTCAGGGAAGGTGTAGACGTTAATAACTATGATGACTGGAGTTAGGGTCAGGGAAGGTGTAGACGTTAATAACTGTGATGACTGGGTTTAGGGTCAGGGAAGGTGTAGACGTTAATAACTATGATGACTGGGTTTAGGGTCAGGGAAGGTGTAGACGTTAATAACTGTGATGGTTGGACTTAGCTGTAGAGTATCTGCAATACCCAAAAAGTTAAGGTAACTCAAACCGTTTGAGGAGAC